TCTGCTGCTGCTGCAGCTCCCTGCGGCTGTGGCTAGCAGAGCGGCACCGCTGCTGGCGCATCATACAGGCGACGGGGGCTATACAAACAGCAGCAGCAGCAGCAGCAGCAGCAGGAGCAGCAGCAGGAGCAGCAGGAGCAGCAGCAGCAGCAGCAGCAGCAGCAGAGGGGCCTGCTGCAGCAGCACTAGCAGCAGCAAACGACAAATGGAGTGTACGTGCAGATGGCTGGAAGCCGCATGAACTCCTCGCTCTACCTTTTGCTGCTAAGGTACGTGCTGCAGCAGCAGCAGCAGCAGCAGCAGCAGCAACGGCAACAGCAGTAGCAGCAGCAGCAGCAGCAGCAGCAGCAGTAGCAGTAGCAGCAGCAGCAGCAGTAGCAGCAGCAGCAACAGACAATAGAAGTAGAAGGAGAAATAGCGGCAGCAGCTGAAACAGGTGCAAGCGTAGCAGCAGCAGCAGCAGCAGCGGTAGCAGCAGCAGCAGTAGCAGCAGCAGCAGTAGCAGCAGCAGCAAAAACAGCAGGTACAGCAGCAGCAGTAGCAACAAGAGCAGCAGTAGCAACAGCTGTAGCAGCAACAAGAGTCGATTCAGCAGCAGCAACAGTATCGCTCAGCATGTTGAAGCTGCTGATGCAGCTCTTGCTGCTGCTGCTGCTGCTGCTGCTGCTGGTGCTGCTGCTATTGGTAGTTTGTCTTTGCTGCTGTTTCTTTTTCTGCTGCTTCTGACTGTGTAATTTCTGCCTTTCCTCTTACTATGCTGTTGCTGCTGCTGCTGCTGCTGCTGTTGCTGCTGCTGCTGCTGCTGCTGCTGCTCCTGCTGCTGCAGAGACACCTGGAGGCTGTAGCCGACGACGGCCAAGCAGCAGCAGAGCTGTGTTCTGCTGCAGCAGCAAGAGCCTGGGGGGCGCGGGGGTACCTGCAGCAAGCCATCAGCATTGCTGACGCGCAGCTAGCCCCAGACACGCAGCTGCAGCAGCTCCTCATCAGCTGCGTAATAGAAAAGGCGCTGCAGCAGCAGCAGCAGCAGCAGCAGCAGCAGCAGCAGCAGCAGAAGCAGCAGCAGCAGAAGAGGCAGCAGGTGGAGGAGAAGCAGCAGAAGAAACTGCAGCAAATAGAACAAGATGAAGATGCTGCAGCACACCAGCAGCAGCACCGAACGGCAACGCAGCAGCAGCAGCAGCCAGAGCAGCGGGAGCTGCAGCAGCAAGAGCAGCAGCAAGGCCAGCAAGAACTGCAACAGCAACAAGAGCAGCAGCAAGAGCCGCACCAAGAGCAGAAGCAAGAGCAGCAGGAGCAGCAGCAGGAGCAGCAGCAACAGCAGCAGCAACAGCAGCAGCAACAGCAGCAGCAAG